CACACACACACACACACACACACACACACACACACACACACACACACACACACACACACACACACACACACACCCTCGACAACAACAGGGCTGGGAGACGTTTACGGATGCAGTTGTGGACTGGATCAACAAGAACATGTCCAATGTTGTGTTCATCCTCTGGGGCAACTACGCAAAGAAGAAGGGCAAGAAAATCAACAAGGTGCGCTTGCTGTATGTGCATGGGTGTGTATTGCTTACACGGGTGTGTGCATTTGTCTTGCATGCATGTGCATCTCGTGTGTGTCTGCGCGCGAACACCATTGACGCCCGACTCACACACTTGTCCACATGTCCTCTCTTTTCCACTCCAAAACCGCACGCATCACCCGCTTCGCTTCCCTTGCCTTAATTCCACCTCACAGCAAAAGCATCTGGTGCTTGAGGGTGCACACCCATCCCCGCTCTCTGTCACGCGGTTCCGGGGTCAGTTTGGCGTCTTTAGGTTTTGCATGTGTTGCGCTCTTGCAATTCAGTGCATGTATCATTTGTGTCATCATCACATCAACTCACACTGCAATGCATACACACACAACAACAGGGTGCCGCCACTTCTCCCAAGCCAACAGCTACCTGAAGAAGATGAAACGTGGCGAGATTGACTGGGCATCCATCTGCAAGTGAACACAACCTCACACACCCACACCCACACACACACACCCATCCACACATCCACACACCCACACCCACACCCACACACACACCCACACACACATACACACACACACACACACACACACACACACACACACACATGTCCTTGTTGCTTGCTACATCGTTTCGCCCGCCCTTTTGCTTCCACCTCTCCGTTGGTTCACGCATCCATAATCGACCTTTCCCCGGAAAATAGAAGTTCCGAATTTGATTCCATGCACAATTACAAACAGTTTCTGAAAGATATTCGCCAATCCTCTACAATCGACTGGTTGGCAACGACGAAGAAGACAACGAACGACGTGCAGGCAGAAACAACACCAACACAACAACGCAAACAGACCACAAGAGCACAGCTTGTCACATCAGTTCACAGACCACCATCAGCCCGCGACAGCAACCAGCCAGAGATGGAGGGTGTGTGGGCGGTTGGCTGTGACAGTGGCGTCCACGCGACGACAGACACCACTGCAGTGTACACATGCAACTCGCTGCTGTGCACTCTGGACACGCAAAGCAACACAGTCACTGTGCGTTTTCTGTGCATGTGTGCTTGCCTGCTGCTGGTGCTAACAACGTCGATGCCGAGCGTTGGCGTCAGCGCTGATGTTGGCGTTGGCGTTGATGTTGGCATTGGTGGTCGTGGTGATGCAACACGGTTCTCTGTGTGGTCCTTTGCTGCTCCCACTTCTTTTTCTCTCTCTCCGTCGTCTGATCTTTGCCATGCCGTTCTGTTCCATGTCTTTTGCAGCCGCAAATCGTGGATCCAGATGCGCCCGTGTTTGCGCTTGCCGCCAGCACCCAGCGCCGCGTCTACGCGTACGTGCTGGAGCAACCGGATCCAGTCATCACCGTGCGCTCGGCCACCACAAACGAAGTGCTTGCCGTCCTCGAGCGAGGTAACACACGTGGTTCAAGCCGTCTTGTTGCACCGCGCTGCAATTGCTGTACGCTGTAGCGAGGTGGCACATTGCGAGAACTGGTTTCCTCATTCACGCACCCCCACTGCCTGTCATACCATGCCATGCCATGCCATACCAGAGGGTGAAGATGCGCTGCCGTGTGCGCTTGCATTCGATGCGTCCGGGAGCCTCCTGTACGCCATGGACGCTCCTCCACACCGCTCCCTCGTCCTCTGGAACTGGGCCGACCAGTCAAGTGCGTTTGCTTTGCCCGCAACTTGAGAGAGAGAGAGAGAGAGAGAGAGAGAGAGAGACAGAGATTGTGTGCGTTCGGTGTGTATGTGGTGTTTTCGTGATTACAGGGCTTGGTGTTAGCGACCATAGCTGTCCCCCAAGTCCCACGAACAACACAAATATGCTCACTTTTGCATACACACACATGTGCGTGCAGTTGTTGCGCGGGCGGAGGTTGATGATCCCGGGCACTTTCATCTTCGCGTGAACCCCCAGCTGTGGACGCAATGTCTCGTGTACAGCAAGGAGCACGCGTGCGTGTGGGAGGTGGAAATTGTTCGCGACGCATCTGTCGTCACACCGCGGTACGCTTGTCGAACACACGCTGATGTGTGTGCGCGCGTGTGTGTGCATATGTGTGCACATGTGTGTGCGTGCGTGCGTATGTGCGTGTGCGTGCGTACGTGCGTACAAGTCAGCTGTTCCAACTCATTGAAATACACCACCACCTGCTCGACCTTACACACCACACCGCCCACACACGCCACCGTGCACCCCCACCACCAGCGCCGTAAACCTGTCACTGACGACGAAGGAGCGACAGGGCTCGCGCTTCCTTCGCCGCACCTCTCTGGAGGAGAGCTTGAACCTGCAGATGGTGTTTGAGGAGGAGACAACACTCACCATCACAGACGCCTTCTTCTCCGACGAGACGAGTGTCGTGTGCGGCTGCGCGGACGGCGAGGTGGGTGGTCCCACGTGGTGGCGGTGGTGATGATGTATTTTGGTCTTGGGTGACAGTGGACGTGCTGAAGTGTGTGAACGTGAAAAGGGGGGTCGGGGGGCGGAAGATGTGGTCTTGCCTGGGTTCAGCTGTTGCTCGCGTGTGTGTCCCTGAATCGGACTGTGCATCCTGCCAGTTGTATCCAACTCTAACAAACGCACACACACACATGCACACACACACACGCACGCACACAATGATGTGTGGTGCACAGTTGATTGAGGCTGACTTTGACACTGGGGCAACGCACGTGGTTGTGACGTCGTCCAAGTTTGGGGCGGGCGCATTTGATGCTCTGCACTGGCACGGTGATTCGTCCACGCTTATCGCAGCAGGTGCGCCACGCCCTCCTCTCTCATGTGCACGTGCACACGCGTATGTTTGTGTGTGTGTGTGTGTGTGCGTGTGTGTGTACATACACGTGTGTGTACATACACGTGTGTGTGTGTGTGTGCGAATCTGTTGTGCCCTCTCAACCCCCCCCCTCTCCCTCTCACACATTTAGTCACAAACATACACACTGACTAACAATCGCACTCACAATCCCACACGCACACACACATCACATCAATCCCAGGACGGGACGGAGTGCTGCGGTGGTTCCTGTGGACAGAGGCGGCACCCACGCTCATGCATACACTCACAACCAACCTCACAACAGCCACCATTGCCTCGTGAGTAGCGGTCTGCAGCCCTGCACTGAAGCACGTGTTTGTGAGGAGCGTGGCGCATGGTTTGAACGAAATTCGTGTCAACCTTGTCTGCTGATTCGCCATCACCATCTCACCATCTCACCATCTCACCATCTCACCACCATCATCGTCACCACGATCAACCACCTCCACCACCATCATCACCACCACCATCATCACCACCGCCGCTACTGTCAGGGTTGGCCGGGTGCTGGCGATTGCTGGACCGGAACACGTCTCGGTTGTCGCCAACCACCAGCTCATCACAACCAGCAATGGTGATGATGATGATGATAGTGGTGAGGGTGGTGCGACAAGCAATGTGACGGCTACGGAGCCAACAGTCAACACAATCGTGCAGGTGCGAACCAGTGCCGCGCGTGTGTGCGAGTGTGTGCGCGTGTGTGCGAGTGTGTGCGCGTGTGTGCGAGTGTGTGCGTGTGCGTGCGAGTGCATGCGTGTTTGCGAGTGTGTTCTCATGCGTATTAGTTATCTGCTCCTCCGCCCCCCCCCCATCTCACCGTTCCAACACCATTTTCAACTGCGTCTCCTTCTCGCAGGGCGCCGCCTCACCAAGCACCGCCGTGTTCACCTCCGTCGTCCCATCATCATCATCGTCTTCATCATCATCATCATCACACGCCGACGACGACCAACAACAACACGAGGAGCGAGTCGTCACTGTCACTGCCAGCGAGCTCGTCCATCAGCACACCACGGGCGGTGCATTCGTTGGCAGCGCCAGCATCGCCAGCGTGGATGCCGCCACCACCGCCGTCGCGTGTGCGTCCTGCTCCCCTGCGCTCATCACAGGCTCCTCCAAAGGTTGCCTGCAGGCATTTCGCCTGCTCCCCAGCGGCGGGTGCGAGCGCGTGTGCAAGCGGTTGGTGCACGGACAGCGCGTGAACGCTGTTGCTGTTGATGAGACGGGAACCACGGTCGTGTCCGCCTCAAAGCGCCACTTTGTTGTGCTGGCGGTAAGTTGTTGGGGGGTGACATTGCGGTTTCGTCTGTTATGGTGTACGCATGCGTGCACTTGCATGTGTCTTCGGGAAGTGTCTTGTGTACGTTTTTGCACTGCACCACAACAGCAATGCACAGCACATTCCCTGCCACTTGACGCTTGGTGTGACACTTGGTACCTCTCTCACGCGACACTTGATTACACACACGCACACGCGCGCGCGCACACACACACGCACACACACACACACCAGATGCCCAGCTTGGAAGTGCGGTGCGCGGGTGAGGTGGAGCACGACATTCTAAACGTGCGCGTTTCGTTCCACCAAGGCAGGACAGTCATTGTTGTTCTCCTGCAGCATCCAGACGCGTACACGCGCGCCCTCACATTCGCCGTTCCCGAAGGTCAGCCGTGATACACGTGGTTTTGTGTCTTTTGGAGGTGACAGCAGATTGGTTTATTTGCATGCCTCAATCTATGAAGGCTCAGCAACCATACAATCACATGGCCACACACTTACACACATGCACACATACACACACACACACACACACACACACACACACACACAACACCAACAGATCAGAGCGTGCTTGCGGACAACTTCTTCTCCGACACGCTGCTGAAGATTGACTTCAACAAGGCGCCCATTAACGTGACGCGCCTGCCCCAAAATGTGGACAAGGTCCTCCTTGCAGAACGCGTTTTGTTGTGCTGGGACATTCGGTCCGGTTCCTTCTACGCGTGTGCGAGTCCATCCCTCCGCCCATCGCACGGCGACACGCCCCCATTTGCAGAGCGCGTCGACAACGCACCAGAGCTGGAGGTGTGTGTGTGTGCTTGTGTGTGCGTGTGTATGTGCGTATGTGCGCTTGTGTGTGTGCTTGTGTGTGCGCTTGTGTGTTCGTGTTTGTGCATGTGTGTGCCTGTATCTACATCTGTGTGTCTCCAGAATCAATGTGACAGCAACCGGCCAACCAACTGACCCTCCTCCCCCACATCTTTTTATTCGACGGCAGGTGTTGGAGTCCTTCAGGGGCATCTTCGGGCGGTCGTCCAGCGCTGCGCTCTCCGTCGCAGGTGCTGTGCCAAACCATCACCATCGTCACCATCGTCACACCATCACCACCATCACCACCATCACCATCATCGTCCGTGTCATCATTGTCGCGTTGATATGCATCGATGCGAGGGCAGGGGCACTGCTTATGTGTGTGTGTGTGCGTGTGTGTCATTGGATGACAGTCGTATGTGCATGCACACACATGCACGAACACGCACACACACATGCACTCAACAAACAAACACGCACACACACATCCTTCATTTGCGCGATTTCATGTCCATTACCACCAACACCACCATGACGTGTTCAGGCCACTTTGCCACGGCGTGTTCGTCCACGGGCCAGATTGTGACCATCCCCCTCACGCCGCCAGGCAGGATTGGATCACCACTCACCGTGAGCGTCACACGCACGCGCGCGCTGACCACAACCACGCCCGTCTCACACGTGGCGTGGACGCGTGACGCCTCCAAGCTTGTGGTTGCGTCAACGACGGGCTCGCTCGCCGCACTTGAATTCTCTTCAGACACGGAGTGGCGTGGCAAGATGCTTGGGATTGCGAAACAGGCAACGCAATTTATTTCGGTGCAGCTGATGGACAGTGCGTCCGAAGCGACAAAGCGACTCATGCAGGCGCAGGTGCGTGTCACGCTGATTTCCACGCTTGAGAGCCGGGTGGGTGGGTTGTGATGGTGGTGCATGCAGAGGATGCGAGTTGTTACGTGTACGTATTACCGCATCACACATGTCCTCACAAGAAATGACACACACACACACACAATACATCACAACGCACACACACACACACACAATGCACACACCACACACACCACACACACACACACACACACACACCACACACACCACGCACACACACACACACCACGTGCACCACAGGCCGACCCTCTGCCTGCGATTGCCGAGCAGCAGCAGCGCGGCTCAATCGGAACTGGCGCTGGGATGACTGCGGTGGAGGAGGCCGTGCAGGCCGCACATGACCGCGCACTGCAGGAGGTGACAACCATGAGGGTGGTGGTACTGGCCGTTGGTGGTGGTGGTGGTGGTCGACGTGAGCGAATGAGGAGGAGGATGCGTGCGAGGAACGGGGATGATGTGGCATGCATTCACGCTGACGTGCTGGTGTTTGTGTGTCGCACAACCCACAACACCAAACGATATTACGTCACGTTGCCTCACGTGTGCTGCGTTGATGCTCGTGTGCACCTCAGGCGACGAGTGGTGATGGCGACATGCAGGCCGAGATTACCGCCCTCCGCGAAAAGGTGACACGGCTTCGTGATGCTGGCTTGGTGGCTTGGTAATGACGAAGGTGGTGGTGGAGGACGAGGAGGAGGAGGAGGAGGAGGTGGTGGTGGTGGTGGTGGCTATGTTGTGACGATGGTGAATGTGGAGCTGGTGGCCGCTTCATGGAGTTTAATGTCTGCAAACGCACATTGTCACGGCCAAACACGGCTCATGTTACAAACGTGCAAGCTCACAAATGCTCGCCCCCGCCTGCCTCGAATGCCCGCACGTGTTGTGTGTGCATGAACGTATTCTACATGCGCGTGACCCTGTTTGCGTGCATTTATATCTTCCCCCCTCTCCTCCCCATGCCATCAGCTTGAAGCGCTGGTTGCCGCTAACAGCGCCGCGGTGCCGGAAGAACAGCTGGACAAGGACGAGTTTGTGCTTGATCTGGAGCAGAAGGCGCGACTGCAGACCTCACTCGACGAAGCCGTCAACGCCCGACGCGCAGACATCCAGACGGAGGCAAGTGGCCATGGGAGTGCATGGGGTGCAGGAGGTGGAAGGGTGTGTCTGTGTGTCTGTGTGCGCGTGTGTAGGTGTGTGTGTGTGTGTGTGTGTGTGTGTGTGTGTGTGTGTGTTGGTGTGTGTATGTGTGTCCCTTTGCTCATTGCTCATTGCAAGTTCGTAGCACTGCCAACCCCTTTAATCCAACCAACCACCAATCCATCCGTGCACAATCATCCATGCGCGCCACCATGCCAACCGCTGTCGCTGCCTCCACCAGATATTGAAGGAGCAGTTCCACCGCAACAACATCAAGCGGGAGTGCTGGGACGCAATGGCGGTGCCCGGTAAACGCATCTACGGCTTTGACATCAAGCTCGAGGTACGACAACCAGAGTTTGCATTGTTTCCGTGACACGTGTGTGTGTGTGTGCGGTGTACGCGTGTGCGATTTATGTGTGTGCGATGTGTGCGTGTGTGTCTTAAGAGGGAACAGTTGGAGCAAAGATGCATTCAAACGCGTGCACATACGCATATGTACGCGTATGCGCACGTATGTGCACTCAGACACACACACACACACACACATACGTGCACAAACTTGTCTCACACCCCCGCTCTGTCCTGTGTTCTTCTTGTCCAGGTGATGAACTTTCCCCTTCGGAAACTGAGCGAGGCGGAAAAAAACGCATTTGATCGCATCGTTTCCATTCGCAGGACCGAAATCGCCGTCGAAAACGCAATTGAGAAGCTCAACAAGCAGGTGTGTGTGTGTGTGCGTGTGAACGTGTGCATTGGTACTCCTCGTACCACTGTTCCCACCACCACTCCTTGACATTACCTCACACCAATCACCACCTCTGCTACGCCCCCGCCCCAACCGGCCCACGTGCAGGACGAGGCGCCTGCCACGCCGATGACGCCGATGACGCCGCTCACACCGCTGACAGGCGACGGCGCTGCCGCTGTCAAGAGCTCCAGTGGCGATGGTGATGGCGGTGAAGGTGATGGTGATGGTGACAACAAGGCAGACAGTGGCGGTGGTGGTGATGGAAGCGGCGGCCAGGGCGACAAGGGCAAGAATGGCGGCGATGGTGGCGGTGATGAGGACACGGAGGATGCTGCCGAGAATGTGCGGCCGCTGCTGTACCACCCGCTCAATCTTCAGACGGCCCCGCGCAAGCGCATGCAGATTGTCCTGCTGGAGCGATACGTGCGCCAGCTCAAGAAGGCCTTCAATGTCACGTTTGAGGAGGTGGGATGCTTGGTTTGAATGGTGTCGTGTGCTCCTTGTTGTGATGGTCTGTGTTGTGAAACAGTTGCGTTTGTTGCTGTGTCGCAGCGTGCGTGACTCACCACCACCACCATCACCACCACCACCACCACCACCACCACCATTGCCGTGCGGCTGTGTCCAGTTCCTAGAGCTGAAGCGGGAGGAGGCGCAGAAGATTGGCGCAAAGAACGAGGAGATTAAGAAAATTTGCAGAGAGCTCAACAAGCGGCCCACCCTCTACACCCCAAAGAAACACACGCTCGAGCACCCAGAGGATCTGCTCACGGTAAGTGCCGCTGTCGTTGTTGCCGTGTGTTTTATTGTATTTGTGTTTGTGGTTGTGTGTGTGTGTGTGGTGTTGCGTGTTGTGTGTGTGTGTGTGTGTGGTGTTGCGTGTTGTGTAGTGCAGGTGAAAGCTGTTTCGTGTCGTCTGCGTTAGCCCTGGCGTGCGTGTGTGTGTGTGTGTGTCATCGCCCTCATGCTTCCTGTTTCCAGCTCTGTTTCCCCAAATGCTCACGCTCGTACATCCCATCCACGCGAACGCCACTCACCGTGACAGGTGCGTGACGATGAGATTACGGTTGAGCGGGTGCTCACGGCTGAGGAGCGACGGAAGAAGGAGGAGGAGGACAGACTCGAAGCCGAGCGCAGGGCAGCCGCTGCCAATGACAACGCCCGCGAGCGCGGCGTACACGACATGATGTATGGGCGACTGGAGGGCAAGGCGGAGGACGATGTGTGGATTGACATTCCGCAGCCCTCGTTCATGACGCAACTGCACAAGGAAGAGTGGACCGACGAGCAGAAGCGCGAGGCGCAGGTGACGATTCGGGATGGATTAATTGTCGAATTGGTTGTGTATTCGTGTGTTCTTGTGTTGAGAGTGTATGTGTGCGTGTCGTGTGTGAGTTGTGTGAGTGTGTGTTGTGTGTCTTGTCGTGTGCGCGCGTGTCGTGCGCGCGTGTGTGAGCGTGTCGTGTGCGTGTGTGTGTGTGTGTGTCGTGTGTGTGTACTTGCTTCGTTCACGTGGTTTGTGTCCATTTCCTCATGCATGCTGTGCCGTGGTCCCTGCTCACTGCAGGCGTACGAGGCTGCGCATGCCGAGCTACTTGAGCGACGCGACAAGCGCAGAAAGGCGTTGGACGGACAGCTGCGCACACTGCATGGCCAAATCAGAGACATGTGCGTATTGCCATGTGGTGGTATCGCTTTGTGTGTGTGTGTGTGTGTGTGTGTGTGTGTGTGTGTGTGCGTCTTGCGTCTTGCGTCTGTGTGTGTGTGTATTTGTGTTTCTGTGTGTGTGTGTCTGTGTGTCTGTGTGTGTGTGCGTATATGTGTTTGCGTCCCGTCGTATCCAATCCCTTGCGATGATGCATTGACACGTCAAGCGTCAAACGCTATGTTCACATCCTCATTTTTCTCCCAATACCCCCCCCCCCACTTCTTCACCTCTCCCCCTTCAGCCGGCGCCACTTTGACTCGCGCCTTGAGGACCTGTTCCGGCAGCGGATTGAGGCCGAGCAGGCGGTGGCACGGGAGGAGCTCGCTGTGCTCAAGCTCGCCAAATCGCTGCAGGACGAACAGGACATTGTGGACGAGGCGATGGCCATTCGCGAGCAGCTGCAGCGGCACCGCCAGCAGCAGGGGCCGCGCTCCCACGCCGTGCAGGCCGCACAGCAGGTCAGGTTGAGAGAGAGAAGGGGGCGGTGATGGGGTTGTGGGGTGATGGGGGTGAGATGAGAGGATTTGATCAAGGGGTGGTGCAGTGGTGCAGTGGGCAGACGAAGATGCATTTGCTGCTGGTGCCCCTCCCCCTTCGCTGCGTCCACTCAACAATGCCACCACCATCCCCCACGACCACCGCCACCAACAGGTCGTTGCTGAGATCAATGAGGAACTTGGGGAGGCGCAGCACGCCGAAAAGCAGCTAGAGAAGTCCTTCCGTTCCCGTCGCGAGTTTGCGGACCTGGACTCCGGCACCGTTGACCTCCTCTTCAGGTGGCACAGCCATGTGACTTGAGATGTGTGTGTGTGTGTTTGTGCGCGCATGTATGTGTGTGTGTATGTGTATGCGTGTATGTGTGTGTGTGCTTGCAAGCCCTACTTGAGTGGACACTCGACTCATCACAGTGTGAACCCTTCCCCTCACCCATTTGAGCGTGTGATGTGTGTCAGGTTGTTCAAGCGCCGTCCGAAGCGCGGACAGCACCGGTCGTCGCTGGCGCCGCTGACAGACGCCGACCGCCCGCAGGACATTGAAGACGCCGTCTGGGCAAGGTGGCCAGCGCAGCCGTGCATGGTGGTGGTGGTGGTGGTGGTCGTTGTCGTCGTCGTATAGATGGGGGGTGTGTGTCTATGTGACTACTTGTGTGCGTGCAAGTGTCACACGTTTGCTAGGTCACTTGGTCGCTTTGCCAGGTGTGATGCGACAGCGTTGCCGTGCCCTGATCGTTCTTCTCACATCCAGCACCCTTTCCACATCATCTCCACCACCTCCGTCACGCACCACTCCATGGCACGCATGTCGTCACTGCGACTGCAGGGTGGTGAAGCTCCGAGACGAGAAGATTGAAAGTGAAATACGCGTGCGGGAGAAGATGGCTGAGCTTGCCGAGGCCGAGGTAACCGTCATGGTGTGAAGTGGGGGGGGGGAATATGTGGCATTATTGGAGGTGGTGGTGTTTGGAGGAGGTGGTGTTGGTGGTGGGCATGAATGGGGCAACGATGCGAACGTCAAGCCCATGAGAATCTATTTGCAGCAGTAGCCTGAGTCCCCCCCCCCACACACACACACCTCAACACGCCCCACGTTACGTGCGTGCTCACTAATTCCTCGCCCATTGCGCTGCCGCATTGATGGTTTCAGGAGTATTTGTCGCGGCGGCGGGAGCAGGAGACGGAACTCGTCAACGCCATTGAGAGCGCACTCTACGTACGTGATTGTGCTTTGGGTGGTTGTATTTACTGTGTTGTGCTGTCGAAGCATTGACTGTTTGTACTTGGTTTGTTCCTCGTTTCCCTGATTTGACACGGATACAACTTCATTTTTATTATATACTCACACCTAAACATACACACACACCTAAACACACACACACACGCACACACATGCATACACACACACACACACACACGCACACACGCACACACACACACACAACACCAGCGGCTGACTGAGCTTGAGCAGCAGCGTGCTGCGCTGAATGTGGACGTGGAAGTGCTCATTACTGTGCAGAACGGGCAGGTTGAGATTCAACACGAGAACGACTTTGATCCCATGTTCCACAACGCATTGCTGATTCCACGCACAGTGGTCGAAGACCTCAATGCAACCACGCGCAAGCTTGCAGAGGTGCACACTCCTGACATGTTGTGGTGCCGTGGATGCGTTGGCGGTTTGCTGTGTTGTGCAGTGTCGACTGTGGTTGTTTCGTTCATTTCATTTTTTCTCGGTGCGCCTTGGTTGTGTTGGAACGCAATATCGCAGACAATGCTAACACGCGCACATCTTTACCTTTGCATGCACTCATTCTGACTCAATTCACGCGTCGTCCTATACTTATATCACTTCTCCACAACCCTCACCCGCACCCCCCTCACTTTGTGTCGCTGTCAGGGCAAAATTGAGCACATGCAGCAGGCAATTCAGATGGCCCAGGGCGTGCGCTTCTTCATCGTGCATGTGCTTCACATCCATCGGGAGTTTCGTCACGCAGATCAGGCGGCCACTGTATTGTACGACATAGTCCTAGTCACATCACCCAAACAAACCCAAACAACGCCATGGAGCAACAACAGCCACCGCAATCGTGCACACGCACACACACACACACACACACACACACACACACACACACACACACACACACACACACACACACACACACACACACACAGAAACATTCACACGCCCGCGTCATTGTGTCAGCGTGGCATGTGTGGAGACGCTTCACGCAACAGAGCTGCTGGGCGATGGCGCCACGTGCGTCGTGAGGTTTCGCCGAAACACCGAGATCTTCTGCGTGAACTTGTCCCTGTTCTTGACCAGCAGGCTCTCCTCCACCTCGCTCAACAGCCCATCAAACGACGATGCAACCTGTCAGGTGAGAGAGGGTGAGAAGGGCGGGTTGTGTGATATGTGAGTGAGTGAGTCAGTGAGTGTGTGTGTGTGTGTGTGTGTGTGTGTGTGTGTGTGTGTGTGTGTGTGTGTGTGTGTGTGTGTGTGTGTGTGTGTGTGTGTGTGTGTGCGTGTTTGAGTCGGCACTTGTGCGGGAGCGTGAGGGACAAAAATCCAAGTTATGACTGGTCAAGACGTGCGGACAATGACGACAAGACAGCGCCATTAACATCGCAACGTAGGCGTTACCAGGTCTCGCTTGCTCATTGGCGTGCCGTTGATGGCCTCCTCCTTGATCTGCAAAATGATTGAAGGTGATCGCAAACAGAAGTGAATGGTTGGAACAACGCACAAAAGCGCACGCACTGTCTCGTAACACGAGCACGCACATGCAAAAGCTAATGGCACACACACACACACATGTACAAAACACACGCCA